ATGGAGAACTGAGGATATAAATTCTTTTTTACCGATTTGATTTATCTCTCTAGTTTCGGAGAAAAGAAAGCGGTGAACTTATTTTTTGGATGACCCTTGTGAAAAGATAAACTCTTACATGAAGATTTTCTTTAATTGTAGCCGGAAAAAAACCCTGACGACGTAATTCCCTAAGATGACCCTAGCGGTCGATTTATGAAAAAGTTTTTTTTAACTATGAGCGCATCGTCTAACTAAAACCAAACCAGGGTTAAAATGTGCCCTAAAGCCTCCTTGATAAAATATAAAAAGCTCGTTTTAGTTAGAAGATGCGCTCGGTGTCAAAAAAAACCTCGGAGTGATAGAAAAACACGTATTTTCGCTAAAATACGCCTGCAGACGTATGTTCAGGCAGCCATTTAATGCGTATCCAGTGGCCTATGGATCAATTATTTCAGTGAACTACATTGAGACAATTTGGAAAACCCGCATAAATTTCCAGATCCTAGGTGGGGCAAAAAAAGGCCGTCTAGAGGGGAGGGGGCCCAAAAAAGGCCCTCAATGATTCTCCTCCTTTGCTATTATGTTTTAAGTCCTAAAGGCATTTGACCACGGCTCTTCAAAAAATAATCTATGCTGTGATAAGGACAGTTGTACGGCTGAAATTTGTTACTACACATGCGCTTTCTGGAGTCAAATTCAGAGAGTCTTGGTTTGTTTTTTTTTCTATTGTAAAGTTCCTAATTGAATCGGCTCATGCGAAAACCGCTAATGTCCATTTTCTCTTATTTTGAGTAAACTGCAAAAAACTGAAGAAGCCTTTTAAATGCGGGATTAAGAAAAGTTCAGAAGTTAATTATTACAAGAATGAATTGAAGAAAAAGATTCCTAACAGTTGTCAGCTCCTCTTCTGTCTGGGACGGAGTAATTCAAAAGAAAGGACTCTGGACATTAGCGGTTTTCGCATGATACGTAAAAATCGCCGAGTTTTGGAGCCGTTTGATATTTTCAAAATTCATTCTAAAAATATTAAAGCGGTAGATTATGATTCACATAAAGTTAAAAAAATAAAATTCTAGACAATTGCGGTACTTGAAATAAGTTTCATTACGAAACTACCATCAATAAAATGGACATTAGCGGTTTTCGCATGATTTGAGCTTGGACGGTTCTAAAACATCGAAAACGCATATTTTTCAGTATGCCTTTCGGGATAAATAAGGTTATACCAAGGTAATTTGAGGCGCTGAATCCGAATATGACTTCGTTTTTTACCATCACCCTCCAATTTTTCGGAAAAGCCGATTTTACTCGGAAAAATGACCTTTTTAGGGCATTTTCGGTGTTTTTCCAACTGGTATCCCCTGCAGAATGTAGGTAAAATTTTTCGTAGCTACGAGATTCAATTTTGTCGATGTCTTTTTAACTGATGAATCCGGAAATAACTTTAGTTTTTCCCGTTTTACATCTCAGTTTTCCGGAAAAGCAACTTTTTCCCGGGAAAATGAGCAAATTCGACGTATATTTGTCGTGCATGCAATTTATTTTTATAATTTTCCTGGACCCTTGGTCGTATGCTACTTATGTATTTCGAGCAGCAAAATCGGAATATGACCTTGGTTCCTTTCTATCACACTTCGAATTTCCGGTAAAGCCGATTTTTCCGAGCCTGAGATTGTGTATTGTAAAAGCTCTGCCAGATCGAAGTGTATTCAAAATTCGTTTTAAAAATGTTTCCGATGTGTGTAACATCGATTCCTTTGAATTTTGATCTGTTCAATTCAAATTTGATCTCATGTTTTTCCGATCACCCATTATATTTTCGGAAAAGTCGCTTTTCCTAAGAAAACGCTCTTTTCAGATATTTTTTCGTTGATTTTTCTGCTCTAAGGCCTTGTCTCCACGGGACGTTTTCATGGGATTATTCCCAAGTTCAAATCGCAGGAATGAAACTTCTGGGATTTTTCCCAGTTAATGTCTCCACGGGACGGGGCTCATACAGTCCTGCGACTAGTTTGCGCGGGAAGATAAAGTAGTTAAAGTCGGGTATTTAACCGGGATTATAATAATAAATGCACTCAATTGACAATTAGTCACATTATTTTAACTAAACAAACATTAACAATGTAGTAATGAATAAAATATCGCACAATTCGTTTTCACTTCTTCTTCTTCTCTCAGTGGGTCCTAGGGGTACAAGTACCATACTTGGTACTGGGAAAAATATTGATTAACTCAATATTTTTCCCAACTTCGTAAGTGGGATTATTCCCTGAGACAAATCTCGCGAAACGGCTCGTGGAGACAAGGCCTAAGGAGTTTCAGAAATTCTCCGGTGGGTGATAACAAATTTTTAACGTCATAATTGGGGTTTTCAGCTCAAATTACATGAGAATCGATGTATCACACATGCGGAAAAAGTTTTGAATTTCTCTAGAAGTGGGAACAGTCATGAAAAGCTCTTGGCCTGGAAAAATCGGACGTTCTAGAAAACGAAGGGGTTTTCAGAGATGAGTGAAGGTCAAATTCGAGTTCAGTGCCTCATACAGTAAGAGAGACCTAAAGAGGATCTCGGAAAACTTCTGAAACTCCTTAGAACAGGAAAATCATCTAAAAAATATCTGAAAAGAGCGTTTTCTTAGGCAAAGCGACTTTTCCGGAAAAATAATGGGTGATAGGAAAAATCTGAGATTATATTTGAATTCAACAGATCAAAATACAAAGGTATCGGTGTATCACACATCGGAGACATATTTAAAATGAATTTTGAATACACTTCGATCTGGCAGAGCTTTTACAATACACAATTTTAGGCTCGGAAAAATCGGCTTTACCGGAAATTCGAAGTGTGATAGAAAGGAACCAAGGTCATATTCCGATTTAGCAGCTCGAAATACATAAGTAGCATACGACCACCACGGGACCAGGAAAATAATAAAAATAAATTGCATGCACGACAAATATACGTCGAATTTGCTCATTTTCCCGGGAAAAAGTTGCTTTTCCGGAAAACTGAGATGTAAAACGGGAAAAACTAAAGTTATTTCCGGATTCATCAGTTTGAAAGACATCGACAAAATTGAATCTCGTAGCTACGAAAAATTTTACCTACATTCTGCAGGGGATAACAGTCGGAGAAACACTGAAAATGCCCAAAAAAGGTCATTTTTCCGAGTAAAATCGGCTTTTCCGGAAAATTGGAGGGCGATGGTAAAAAACGAAGGTCATATCCGGATTCAGCGCCTCAAAATGCATGAAGATCACCGAATGTCGTCCAGGAGCAATTTTTTTTATTTTGGTTTATTGCACAGTATTATGATGCATATAACGAAAGATGGACATCAGCGGCTTTCGCATGATTCGGACCACGCCCCCCCCCCCCTGAAAAGGGCTTCAAACCTGAGGAACAAACATTTTCACCACATTAATGAGTGTGTCTGACCTCCGAGAGTATTTTAACCTAAAAATCTCAAAATTGAAAAAAATGGACATTAGCGGTTTTCGCACGAGCCGATTCAATTATTGAAGTGCTACGTGCCTATATTATATTTGTGAGATCTGTTATTTTTCAGAACGACAATTGTCACATCTGTCTCCGGCGATATTCCAAAAATATTGCGTAGTAAATTTTTATTCAATGTTGCAACAGTATTGCTTAAACAATTTGTCAACATTGATAAAATATTTTGAAAATATTTTATCAATATTTCCTTGACAACAATGCTGCAATCAGGGGGCTGGACAAAAAAATATTGCAGCAACATTATTTCGATATTGCTGAAATATTATTGGAATGTTTCTGACAATATTTCAACAATATTTTCGGAATATCTCCGTGTTGGGCGGGCTCGCAAAACAACGGGAGTACAAAACATGCCTCAGCAATACACTCATGTAAAGAGGTTGTTCCATAAACTTCGATTTTGTACAAGGTGCCCCCGATGACTGGGAAAAATTTCAGCCCCCTCGGATAATTAGGGGACAGGGAGGCCGAGTTGCCATGTTTGCAAAACTGTAAAAATCAGTATCTCCTGAACCGTTTGAATGTAAGTGTTACGGATTGCGCTAAAAACGGCAAAAACATTAATACTATTTTGATTGTTGCATAATTTATCTTAATCATGATTCGACTTAGACAGTTCGAATTTTTGCCATTTATCGTATCTCTTTTTAAGGCGATTGTTCCTGTGGAAACAGAAATCAGTCGGGGTTACTCTCCAGTCGGATGAATTCCGCATCTTGTGGGAAAATATTCTCTCAAATATTCTGGTAGGAACTATTATTTGACGTTTTTTAGCGCAAACCGCAACACCCCCGCTCTATAATTGTCCGAGGGGGCTGAAATTTTGCCCAGGCATTGGGGGCACCTATCGGATAATTTAAGAAAAGCAACCGGAACAAAACCGNGGGGGGGGGGGGGGGGGTAATCGGCGATTTCGGAACAACCTCTCTTTAGGGTAGGTTTTTTGCACTGAAATTTAGCGTAAAGCATTACTGTGAATTAGTCAAGATTCCCTGAAAAGTAGAAGTCACTACTTAAAAACCAGTAGCTAGGGCAAAGGTCGTCTGATTTCCTTAGGGTCCCTTTTTTCCATGTAGCTACGAACTCATTCTCAGGAGCAACTTTTATCAGACTGCTTTGTCGTGCTATTAAGTGTAGGATACAACTTTCCATGAAAGAATCTGTTCATTTCATCCACCAACAATAACATCCATTTTTATGTCTTGACTTATCACAGAACGCATTTCAACTTGAATACCCTTACTGTAGAACAAAAACAAAGAAAGAAAAAGAAAAAAAACCAAGAAAAAACTAGAGAAACGTTTTCCAAAATATAAGTTGATGATCCTAAGAAATGGCATCCATTTCTCCATTTGGCAAAGAGCACAGAAAACTCTTCCTATTACATAAGTATAGACTTTTTTTCTAATTTTTCTTAATCTTGCTCAAATATTTGGTTCTTTTTATTATTGTGGGGGGGGGTGAGAGGTGATGAGACAACCCAAAAAACCACAAAATATCATGTAAATCTAATCCAATTTTTTCAAATAGAAAAGTATAGGTGAAAGATTTGTCTAAATCATGCTTCTTATGAATTTAAATAAGGTTATAAAATGTATTGACAAGTAACCTCAATTCTTGTTTGACATGTCAATAATAATAATAATAAAAATAAAAAGAAGAATCGGAACCAATTGTTTTTGGAGGGACTGGTTCATGTTTCAGAAATCTGGTGATAATGTTGAGATTCAGCGACTAAAACTTCTTCAGCAACCTTCAATTTCACTTTCAATACTTTTTAACCCTTTCAGTCATGTTCTGTGGTGACTATAAGGGATGCTGCTTAAAATCTTTTATAAAACAACCAAATTATTTACTTAACAAATAAAATTTTCTTCTATACTTCAGAATAATTTTAATAGAAAAATGATTTAACACTTCCTACAAGACCAATGCCTAGTTGAGATATTTGAATTTTGAAAGCTGTTGACGGGTTTATCCGCAGTGTGGTGATTCTTTAATGAGTGTAGACGAAATCAATGTGGCATTATGTTTGAGAAACTTTCTTGGGGAGAAGTAATCAGGGGAATGAATCAGGTCTAAAAACCAGATTACATGCAATACTGTTACCTACAGAGTATAAACAGACAGGTGAATTGATTTTAACTTTCTTGCTCTCCTTTTTACAAAGACTTTGAAAATTATGAGGATAATTAAATCTGATAAGAGACCTGTTTCAGTTAATATTATACCTCACAAAAATAAAACAATTTTCATCGGACAAAAAGTAATCCAATAAAATAAAAGCTGAGCCTCCTTTTTTCCATGCAAAAAAAAAAAAAACTGGCTTCGGAGACGGAAAACTTTGGATGCAGTTATAATATTTCAGTTGATAATTTTATGATTTATTTACAATCAAATATGAACCAATGAGTCAGAGACCAAAAAATGGGGAAAAAGTAAAACATGAGAGGATTATGCTAAAATAATTAGATGATTGTTGAATAAAATTTCTTCAGACAAGTCAAACAAATAATGGATTATCTTTTCAGGCATTGATAAATGAGGGATACAGTAAATAAAACTATCTTTATCGATAAAACGGAGAAATAGGTGAATAAATATCTAAAAAGGTGTATAGGCTTACTTACAAATGTACATTCATTATCCTCCACAAAAATTACTGCAAAATTACAAAAAGATCATAGAATAATTTAAAACTCATCTTACTTCACGATCTACGTAACACAATGATGTGTTTCCTGGCTTTCCTTAATCCAGGTTAAAGTCACTTCATTTGGTATGATCAGCTAGTTTGTCCCGCAACCCTTTCACTTTTTGGACAAAGAATGACTCCAAAGATTCAGCACATTTAAAGAATGGGGATTCTTTTGGATTATAGTAGCGACAATTATCAAATATTTTTGTCATATCTCCTATGAAGTCACTCAGTTTTTTGTAGCTTCTGTCACTAATCCTCAATTCAATGGTTTGAAGATCTGAAATAAAAAATTAAAAATTGAACTACAATAATCAGATATAACATAATCTAGCCCAATAATTAGTGATGACATACATAGAAGCTACATTCTGATTAAGATTCCGATGGGTTCATTCGGATGTGTGAGAATGGATCACACTTCAATAACAGGCAGCATTTATAGTTCAGCTTCTTCAGCTTGGCATGTTTTTTTAAAAATCTGCAAAAATCTAGAAATATTCTCAAAATGGGATTTTTCTCAAAGTTCCACATTTATTTCTTTCTATCCTTAATAGGAGTTCTGTTAAAGTTCCTTTGGTTAAAGGAGAAAATTTGGCATTTAGCGCAATATAGGTGGTCAATCAGAGATATAGACATTAGGCAGGTAACGTAAACTAATGAAAATTCAGTAAATCGTAAACTTCTGCAGCTTTTACAGAAATGATTTAAACAAGGTGGAATTTTTACCATAAGTAGGTTTCCCAAGGATCTTTCAATTCCCAAAATTTTAGATTTTTACTAGGAACCCCTTTTGAGTTGTAGCGCGCTGAACTTGGCTGAAACTTGAATGTCGGCCATCTAGGAGCAACTCTCACAGAAGTAAAATGAATCATCTGTGTGCTGATATTCGGTCATGTAAGTGCCTTAGTATGGATCTAACAGTAAAATTTTCAGTCTGTGCAATGAATTCCTTCTTCTTCATATTTCAGCCTTGAATTGGTCATTTTGGCGAATTTCAGCCCAATTTCAAGGCCTAAATTTACCCTTAACTTAAATTAAAATTTGAGAGTAAATAAATTGGATTGCACTGTGCTGAAAGTCCATACAAAGAACTACAATTTCTGTTTTTGATTTCTCCGATTGCATAATTTTTTGGTGAGATATTTTATTTACCGCTAACAGCATTTTTTCCCTCATATCGGAGTCATATGGCAACGCTGCTGTGCGTAAGTTTTTTCGAAAAATTAAAATTAAATATTTTTGATCTTTTGAACTTAAATGAGCATGTGTTCATACTTTCAACAATTTCTGAGTCAGCCGAGCAACAAATTATCTGAAAGCTGGGTGATTTCAAGTGGAATGACTCTTATACAATCCGAAAATGGGTGCCTGATTTGCAAACCCTTAAAATTTAACCATTTGTACTTTCAATATACTTGCATTGAGTAGTCTATGAAACCAACTTGTATTAGAAAAGATTTTTTTATCGTTTTGAGGGCAAATAAAGCATGGTCTGAGTCAAAGAGAAAAACTTTGCTTTTGAGCATATCAACGCAACTCAAGTTTTCTAGTCAAGATACCATTACAGGCCTTCACAAACGGCTTGAGTTAGGTGAACTACATAAAGAAGATGCAACATTGGATGATCTTTGAAAGAGGTTTAGTGAATTTTTACTGTCCGTCCGACCCTTCCATCTGCTCTAATGGAAAATAGTCAAAAAGGTTGATTTTACCGGCTTTTCCAAGCCATTTTGAGTGAAAATTGATGACTGAACCCACAAAACGCCAGAAAGCCATCAATTTTATTTCATAGCGTTATAGATTATACCTTAAGGAACATTTTTTAAAAAAAAGAAAAAATATTTGGATATCCCCTGCGCCTTTTTGGCTACTCTCATTTTACTTACTTTGATTTTTACCGCAAAAATGAAGCTTAAAATATATATATATATATATATATTTGACTGGTGCTCTACTCACTCATGGTTTGAGCCCAGAAAACATTTTTTCTCATATTACACATTCTCTCAGTGACCTGTGCACAAATTTTTATCCAGATATCTTTAAAACTCAAATTTTTCAGGAGATTTTTCGAGGAACAGGCACAGCTGTTTTAGTGACTCCAGAAATGTATTTTTTCAAAAATCATCAGAACTTCAATAATTTTTTTCTCGAGACCTACTGAGTATTTTGGGCTAAAAATTTGGACTTTCTCTTACTTTGACCTAAAGAACGAGTAAAAATAAAAATCGTGCAAATCCGATACGAGTAGTGAACTGGTCCGGTTGATTTGGCATGGAATGACACCGAGAACTTTTTGTCTCTCTTTCGCATTTTCAAAGGATTTTTTGAATGCCATTCCATTTAAGGAATTGAGATGGAGAGGACAACGGATGAAAGTTGGAAAATTGGTATGAATGACAAAAATTTTACCCATAGGTTCCTTGATGACTTTGTAATAATCTGGTGCTTCAATGGGATCAACAGGTTCCATAAAAGGCCATGCACTCTTATGCGCCTGAAAAGGTACAAGAAAAATATCAGTGTCACCTCAGAATAATTGGAGTAGAATAGAACACAGCACTACTTGCCAATTAAGACATGCCAAATTTTTTAAAATGACCGGTAGGAAGGCGGAGCAACACTTAAATTTTAAATTGCTCTCACGAGTTTATTTGCTATTGCACAAAAATGGTTATGGTATCAAAACAAAGGTCAGACAATTCTATGCACGGTGCGTTTTAAACAATTTTAATGCGGTCAACATACCACCCGCGATTTTTTTGCGGAAATGTCAGCTAGAAGGCCTACTGATTGAGGAACAACAAACCGCGAAATCTGTGATGGGGCCGTTTTTGAGAAAATGCGATTTTTCGCTTTTTTGGCGGGAATTTCGGGTCAAGGCGCTGAAAAAGTCAAGTTAGGCTGTTTTTGTAGTTCGTAAATGCATATCCTATACATTTTGAGTCAATCAAGTGCCAGTAGATAGCTATTCGTGCATATTGCCCAAAATTCATATCCTTAAATCCACGACTTTTGGGTTTTTGGGGGGTTAGTCAAGGAGCAATCCGAAAAAAAGAGGGTTAACCCGGAACAAATTGCTTAACAAACTTTTCCTACGTAAACTTCTTCAGTAGGTCCTATTGAACAACATACCAAAAGTTTACCACGGTTCGCTCCCGGAACACCCCCCCCAAATTGCCTAAATTTCAAAATGGCGGCCATAATAAGGCCTCTGGGAGTTCGATTTTTTCAAAAATACGCATACAGTGTCATGTGAGGTGTCAAATTCCTATGTAATTTTGGTCGTAGATTTCAAATATGAAGTACAAAAAGTCCCTTGATCAAAAGGGGGTACCCCAAATCCAAGATGGCAGCCAATTTTGAAAGTCAAGAGGGTGGATTTTTAAAAAGTTCGCGTGATAAGGCAAGTGAGGTATCATTTCTTATGTAATTTTGGTCGTAGATTTCATTTATGAAGTCATAAAAGCCCTCAAGTTAAAGGGATTGCTCCAAATGCAAAGATGGCGGCCAGCTTTGAAAGGCAGGAGGGTGAATTTTTGAAATGTTTACGCGACATCCCTAGTAAAATAGAATCAACCTGACGTTTCATAAACTACCCTGAGTCAGATTGATATCAGCTTGAATTAGTCTGACTCAGGGTAGTTTATGAAACGTCAGGTTGATTCTATTTTACTAGGGATGTCACGTAAACATTTCAAGAATTCACCCTCCTGCCTTTCAAAGCTGGCCGCCATCTTTGCATTTGGAGCAATCCCTTTGACTTGAGGGCTTTTATGACTTCATAAATGAAATCTACGACCAAAATTACATAAGAAATGATACCTCACTTGCCTTATCACGCGAACTTTTTAAAAATCCACCCTCTTGACTTTCAAAATTGGCTGCCATCTTGGATTTGGGGTACCCCCTTTTGATCAAGGGACTTTTTTTACTTCATATTTGAAATCTACGACCAAAATTACATAGGAATTTGACACCTCACATGACACTGTATGCGTATTTTTGAAAAAATCGAACTCCCAGAGGCCTTATTATGGCCGCCATTTTGAAATTTAGGCAATTTGGGGGGGTGTTCCGGGAGCGAACCGTGGTAAACTTTTGGTATGTTGTTCAATAGGACCTACTGAAGAAGTTTACGTAGGAAAAGTTTGTTAAGCAATTTGTTCCGGGTTAACCCTCTTTTTTTCGGATTGCTCCTTGACTAACCCCCCAAAAACCCAAAAGTCGTGGATTTAAGGATATGAATTTTGGGCAATATGCACGAATAGCTATCTACTGGCACTTGATTGACTCAAAATGTATAGGATATGCATTTACGAACTACAAAAACAGCCTAACTTGACTTTTTCAGCGCCTTGACCCGAAATTCCCGCCAAAAAAGCGAAAAATCGCATTTTCTCAAAAACGGCCCCATCACAGATTTCGCGGTTTGTTGTTCCTCAATCAGTAGGCCTTCTAGTTGACATTTCCGCAAAAAAATCGCGGGTGGTATGTTGACCGCATTAAATTGTTTAAAACGCACCGTGTATGTCTCCGGCAAATAAAGCAAAATATCTATTTTCTTGCCTGTCAAATAGTTATTTGACCTCGAAATTTCCGAAAATTTGAAAAATGTTGGTTATTCCAATTAAGAGAAGAAAAATTCCAGCCTGACAGAAGAATTAGTTAGGACTACTTTTTTTTCCATAGACTTTCACGGCCGGCTTCAGTGAGACCTGAGAGCGGCATATTCCACTCTAAAAGTGCAGGATTTTCTTGTGTAGGCAACGGACTAGGGTACGTCAAGAAATTTGTTTATGTTTCATATGAGAGAATTGGTGTATTACAATTCGTTTGTTTCTTTGATAGTTCAGTTTCGGTCTATGTTTTCTTTCTCCCCATCATTTTGTGCATAATCATGTTTATTTTTTTCGAACGTTTGTGGTATAAAGGCTGATAGATTATTATTTTAATGGTGTTTATCGAAAAAATGGCTCTTCATTCATGAAAAATTCTTTGAAACTAATTGAAATCAAGGGAACTGAGTACATTGGATCTCCATGCTTCAAGGCTTTCGAACTGCGCGACTGCAAATGTCCAGGGTGGCAAAATTTAATGAACAACAATTTTGAAATTTCACATGAAATGTTTTATAAAATTTCAGAAATTTATGAAAGATATTGAAAAATATCGGTTCCTTTCCATGTTTCGCAAAATGTAAAATTGTGACTTTCTTCTATTTTTGTACGTTTGAGTGCGGGTTGCATACTCTAGCCCCTGAAATATATAAAATATTTCACAGGCTCGCGAAATTTCATGAATATTTCACTTAAATTTCCAATCTTTCATACGTTTCATGCCACCCTGCTGATGTCTGCCCGCATCTCCTTGTTATCCTGGAAACTGACTCAAACGACCGCATACAACTCCTCTACTGGCTCTGGGAGTTTTTCCCCTTGAGCGGTCAAATATTTATTCCTATCTTGCAGACTCATTATTTTTTTTGACGAAGTTTATATTATTAGTTACTCAGTGGAATTAATAGGATGGTAGAATAATGATGGGTCCACACTGTTCTGCATCGAAATCAGGCCGAATAATTCTGAAAATTTTCATCTCGTTAAAAAATTTAAACTCTAAACATTCTTATGTTTTTTGTACTCAATAGAATGGTGTCTCAGTATGAGTTGTGAGAACGTTCTTAACTACGAAACTTTTGATGATTTCTCAAGAAATATCTTGGATCCTCTTCAGCGAACAAAAAGTATGGAAACCACTTTGATACACCACTGCAAACTGCGATGTGGGAAACTAAAGAAACTATGTTGAAAGAATACTTTCATTTTGAGTTTCACATCGAGTTGTGAGACTGGGATGACTCTTCTGTATCCAAATACATCTTTGGTGCGGTATACTTTTTGAGGGAGAAAGCTAAAAAACGTGCAAAAATTTTGGGTAGATTGTAGAGTAAAGAGTTAATTTTAGAATTATTTTTGAGCCATTTCTTATGTGAAATAACGGTCGCCTTCACTCCAACTAAAGTATGGAACAGATTGTGCATCCATTGTTGAGAGTACTGTGGATGTTGACAGTATAATACAGCTTTTAATATTTCTTTACTTCATTATTTATTTTTCACATCACATGTTTCCCGGAACTGTATCCATTTTTATCTTTATCTCTACGTTGCAAAATTATCATTTAAATAGAGACCTCTACTCATGATCTTCTTCTGGTTTCTTGCCGGTCCACTATCGACAGACAGAGAACAGTAACCTTTCCGAAGGTTATTTTATGGACCTGTCTTTAAATTGAAAACTTTCCTTTATAAAAAGGTTTCCCAGTAAAATAATTTTTGAAACAAGAGTGAAGTACTAACCTGAATTTGTTTTATCAATTTTTTCAGAGCTTCAAAATCTCTACCACTCAAATTTTTCATGTTTGCAAAATTAACCTCTGAGTTCTTCTGACACTTCGGGCAGATATATTCATCAATGTTATCAGCTTCAGATTGCAAGATTCCAACACATCGTCCATGGAACCAATCTTGACACCGATCACAGCAAATATAAAATCTAAACAAAAATAAAATTTATATCCTTTATTAAGGGTTGCCACAGCATTTAGAGAATGAAATTCCTTGACATCTGAGGGTATGCAAGGCCGTTAAAAAGACTTAGTTTTAAATACTTGTCTCAGAAACATGTAAGTTTTATGGTGAATAGTTTATTTGCATACACCTAGTTTTCCGTCATTGACAGCAACTTAAGGAAGTTACATCTTTGAATGGCCCATTACTTTTATTTTTATTTTTTGCTACTTCAAACAGCCCACAAGGGTTAATCCTGCGCTTTCTTTCTGTCCCCTCTCCGTCCCTAACAACCAGTCCCAGGCAACCATTTTTTAAAACCATCAAACTCAGGTTGCCTGGTAGGGAAGCAAACCCAGGACCTCCCGGTTATAGAGCTAGCGCTACAACCACTGCACCATAGGAGGCCGACAATTATAGGAGACCTGGATTATTAAAGAAGTTTTGGTCAATTTCTTATGTTGTATTTCCACAAAGTTTACATTGACATCAGGCTCTGATTGCCTCAGACAAAGAGTATAAATTCTGCAATGCTAAGTAAATTGCTGGGTGTGCTACCACTTCCATTTAGGACTAATAGTAGGTAATACTGAGTCTTCTGTACAAAATTGATGAAAAGAGAGGAAGTTGGAGCTAATCATTTTTCACAATAACCAATATTAAAAACCAGAAAAGTTCTTTATTTTACACTGAAACAATGCCCTGTTGCTAATATAAAACCTCATGGAGACAAAGGCACAAACACACAAACTACAGTAAAAATAGACCAATCCACTTCCCCAATTCAAATTTTAGTATTGTTAAACACAGTTCCGTCCTTCTGAAAGTTAGAAGGAAAATGACTGAAAGAAAGCGTTTGGCTGGGCAACAATATTGAATAAAAATGCCTGAGTTGTTGAAGCTAGGTAGAGAGAGGTATTTCCTTTCATTCTTGCTATGTATAAAAAGGGTAAAGTTGGTACATGCGCATCAATAGAACCGCGTGGGAGGAGGCGGTGGGAAGGGGAGGGACTGAAGGAGAGAAGTGGCAAATTCAGAGCGAGTTGGAGACCATTTGCTGGGGCAGAGTGGGGGGTGTGGGGATACGCCTCCCCAGAGGAAGGGGGCGCAAGGGGGGGATTTTTAAGAAAATAGGCCCTCCCAGATTGATTTTTAAACAGTTTTAGCATTTTATTAGAACTCCGGATCATCTTCACTGATCTGGCAAGAACGCGCGGCCAAATTTCGGACCGCAACGGTCTGTGTTGGGTACAATATAGCTGCCAACGTGTTTGTCCTCCATTGGTGGTGTGATTTGGTGGCGCAGAAACATACTGCGGCTCAAAGTAACACCACATTACAGCCAATTTTAGCCACAACGTAACAGAGGTAGGAGTTCTAATTCATTATTTATTACTTGGTGTTGGTATTGGTGTTCAATCTATTATCCAAACTTTTCAATTATTCAAACGGTCCCAATTAGTTCGGATAGTCGGAAGTCTACAAATTCACATCAGCGTATTGGAACTCAACAACAATTGTCGAAACAAAAGCTTGCAACACAGGCCCTATCAATAGAACCGAAAGTTGTAGCATGACAAAGGTCATGGTAAACCAATAACAGAATGACAGAGGAAAAGAGGCTGTCCCATTTTCCATACGAAATGGCCGCAAGAGATTTTCCATCCATACTTTCAGGAATCATAACGGATCATCGGAGGGGCCTAAATTCGGTGACCTTTCCCGTCTAGCCCTCCAAAAGGTGAGAGGGGAGGGGATCAAAGGTCAAACACACAGACCGCCATAACTTTTGAACGAAGCAACGGATCATCTTGATCTTGGGCTCAAATGAAAGCTCTCAACAGGACCTTACATTTGATGTATATTAAGGTCTGTTATTGGTAATTTTTAAAAGTGAAAAAAATCATTGTTTGATTTTTCAAGCCGAAAAAATTCAGTTTTTTAGGTTTTTCTACAAACGGAAACGCATGAATCATTACAAAAACTAATTTAAATGAAAGCCCTTGATTCAAGCTTTAAAACGAGCTATCGTTGAACCTGGGGAAATGAATTGTTCAAAAGTTATGACCGTTCAAAGTTGGCGTGGCGCGTGCGCGCGGAGTGTATATTCGCGTGCCACCCCTCCCTACCTTTTCCTTTGGTGCCCACTTCAGCTGATGACGGATACAGAAAGGTCCAAAGCTCCTTCCACCTGAAGAATAACCAATCATTAGTGCAAAATTACTTTTATTTCTAACTAAAAATCAAGCCTCTTTTACTGAAAAATACACTCAAAACCTGTAGATAATATTCATAGGCTCTAGTACGCAACTAATCGACCAGCACTTGAAACTCGCATATACTACTGAATATCTCTCCCTCACCTCTCTCCCATCTATTCCCCTCTTGTCAAGATTTACCTGCACGGGAATAATCAGATACCGCAATGATGAGAGGCTTGATTTGGCCATTAAATATTAAATCATGGAGGGGGGGGGGCGAAAAAATAATGTATGCCAGCGTCTTGTCGTTTATTAGCATTTTATTTATTTTTATTTCCTTTTTTTGTTAGAAATAAAAGTAATTTTGCACTAATGATTGGTTATTCTTTAGGTGGAAGGAGCTTTGGACCTTTCTGTATCCGTTATCAGCTGAAGTGGGCACCAAAGGAAAAGGTAGGGAGGGGTGGCACGCGAGTATACACTCCGTGCGCTTCAAAATAGCGCGCCACGCCAACTTTGAACGGTCATAACTTTTGAGCCATTCATTTCCCCAGGTTCAACGATAGCTCGTCTTAAAGCTTGAATCAAGGGCTTTCATTTAAATTGGTTTTTGTAATGATTCATGCGTTCCCTATTGTAGAAAAACCTGAAAAACTGAATTTTTTGGGCTTGAAAAATCAAACAATGATTTTTTTCACATTACCAATTACCAAAAACAGACTTTAATAAACATCAAATTTAAGGTCTTGTTGAGAGCTTTCATTTGAGCCCAAGATCAAGTTGATCCGTTGCTTCGTTCAAAAGTTATGGCGGTCTGTGTGTTTGACCTTTGATCCCCTCCCCTCTCACCCCTTGGAGGGCTAGACAGGAAAGGTCACCGAATTTAGGCCTCTCCGATGATCCGTTATGATTCCTGAAAGTATGGATGGAAAATCTCTTGTGGCCATTTCCTATGGAAAATGGGACAGCCTCTTTTGAGGCTTCCATACTCCACACTGAGACTTGGGCTGGTACGTTACCTAATTGTTAAGAGGTACAGAAAGTAATGAGATTGCTTATTGACTTACTGTGACTCATCATATGGTTGTTTACAGAGGCAATAAAGTTCTTGTGTTTCACGGGCGTGCTTGCACTCACTACAGATGAATTCCGTTAGAGATTTGCTCATCTCTTCCGTGATACCGACACAGTCACCATGGAACCAATTGTTGCACAGATCACACCCAACATAAAATCTGGGAAGAAAACACCGAAGGATTAACAAATGCAGTTAACTAAAGTAAGAAGAACCAAAATCATTCAAAGAGAATATAAACTCTGATAGTTTGATTTAAAGAAATAAATTGATGATACTTCAAAGTCCTCACAAAAACCTTCTTAAATTTGCTAGTAAATCGCAAGCTTGCAAAGCATGACTCCTCTTACATGGGTGGATTATAAAATCAAACTAACTATTTTCCTCCAACTTCTTTCACAGAGCAGGGGAGAATGTAGTCAATATTAATCCATGCAGAAAAAAATGTATAACTGAGGAGGAAGGGGAACGAAATGTTGAAACAAAACTTACTTGGTATCATCATATGGTGTCCGACACGAACAGAGTAATTTTTCTTTTTTGTTGGTTTTGGTATTAGTGTTAGTTGGTGGTGACTGGTGTATTGCTTTGGAAGTGTGTTTTCTTCCTTTGGAGGTTGACTTAGGTGGACTGATGGTGGTTGCAGGAGTTGATGCAGATTTTCTTTTGCTGCTTCCTTGAACATGGGTGGCAGGTTTCGGCTGTTCGACTTCAATTCTCTCAGTTTTCATACGTGATAAGTATTCCGCTAGCTCGTTCTGGAATTGAAAACAAATGAGCCATTTAGGATGAAAAATCAAAATACAAGAGAAAACTGCATTTTTGCTCAATTTCAAGTTTGAAGAGACCATCCAACTGCATATAATCATACAGAATTTCATGTTTTTAAATGGTGAGTAAGGCAAATATTTGCAAAATTGACAAGGTGACTGCAAAATCAGCCCATATGCGTAGGAGCTGTTTTTGCTCCCCACATTGCAAACAATTATTACACCAAAAGAGTATTACCTCTCCAAATATGAAGATGATCTGATAATTCCATGGCTTAAAAAGTCAATTTGTTAGGCAAGAAAATTAGAGAATACACACACCCGACCTGGTAACAGTGCAGCGCAGTAGAGGTATTTCCAAAAATAAAACAAAAAGTCAAATGAAGTCTCAAAAAATCAGCCAATAGATCAGTAAGTAAGTACCTCCAGATAAATTGTTTATAACAAAGAAATTTTAAAGTTCACCATAAGTAGTTCCTTAGCATTTATGGTAATGTAATAGGTACCGATTTAAAATCTGCTCCATTCGCATATGAGGACATATATGTAACAATAGCAGATGTCGAGTTTTCACATTTTGAGAAAATCGCGTTTGAAGTTTTTGAAACTTTGCACACTAACGCCCGTAGAACAGGGAGGATCCTTATATAGATTTTCATGAAGAGCAACTCTTCCTGTAAAAAACACGCGTTTTATGATTTATGTAAAAGAAAAATTGAAGGAGTTACAGCAATTTGATAAAAATGTGACATCCGCTATTTTTTCTGAGAATATTTTTTTATGCATGAAACAAAGTCTTCAGGAAGGGTGAGGCTGGTGGAAGTGGTGGAACGAATGGAATGAACCATAAGTAAGTCAAAATGCTGATTCATTTAACACATTTGAAAAAAAAACTAAACCGTTTGTAACTTCAACAACAAAAATAAGGGAAAAATTATAAAATCAGTTAAAAATTCGACAATTCTGGCGGGACGGTCCCAATTTGTATCATTCGAGTGTCAGCTGCAGCCCATGGCCGGTGCACAGGCAGTTATCTAGAGTGCGTTCAAATCTCCACAGTTTCCTGCCGCGCCTGCAGGGGAGAACAATGGATTCTCATAACCGCTGTTTTTACAAATAACATGGTTTTCACTTCATATCTCGCCGAAAAATTAAGCTGGATTCTGAAACTTTGCACAGGCATTTTTGAGGGCCCCAGAATTTGAAAAAAGCGTTTTCCCTAAAAATGGCAGATGGCAGCGACCACAATTGTTACATATAAGTCCTCATTCAGGGTGTTAGAAAAGTTCCCTCCCCCCCGTCCAACTTTTTACCTAATTGAGGTAGAGATTAGAAACTTGGAGGACGTTCCCAGGTCTAAGAAAGCTACTTTTTGACCACCCTAAAATTATCAGGGGGCCCTCCTTAGGGGAGGGGGGGGGGTTACAGACCCCAACTTTTGGCCAGAAATTGTATCCTAGGTTTTCTGTCGATGGATTTGCCTGAAACTCCGTATATGGGGGAATTTTAACACAAGAAAAACGAATTTGACGTTAGCTTTTTAATAAAACCAAAATTGTCTAAATGGCGGCTGGTTGAAGTTCAAAATGGCCGAATTTTTTTTTTTTTAGAAATCTAATTTCAAAGTTACTCTCATGCCATAATACTCCTAGAATCCAAGTTTCAGGCAAATCCATAAGCAAATAATCGAGCTGTCGACTTTTGGCCATTTTGAACTTCGACCAGTCGCCATTTTGACAGTTTCGGTATTTTTAAAAATCTATCGTCAAATTCGTTTTTCTCGTGTTAAAATACCCCCTCATGCAAAGTTTCAGGCAAATCCATTGACAAAAAACCTTGGTTTCAATTTTAGGCCATCTTGATCTTTAACCGGCCGCCATTTTGAAACGGTTTAAGGTATTGACTTCGGGTTTGCGCAAAAAGTTTTCTTTTTTTAATTCTCTTTCGAACAAGGTATCAAAAGAACGGTCTTCTCATTTGAAAATAAAAAGTTGGGGTCTGTTACTCCCCTAAAGGGACCCCTGAAAATTTTAGGGAGTCAAAGAGCAGCTCCCTTTGACCTAGGAGCGTCCTCCAAGTTTCAAATCTCTACCTCTATTAGGTAAAAAGTTAGATGAGGGGGAGGGGACTTTTCTAACACCCTGTATGTATACCCAACAGTGGGATGCAAAGATAGCTCATGACACAATTTTTTTTAAATATACTACAAAAGACCATGAATAAAAAAAATCATATATCTTTATGCAACTCTCCTTTAACGAGGGTTCTTACAGTCAAGGTTGCCATGGAATTTGGAAAATGATATTCCCTGACATTTCCCTGATTTCCTTGACACATTTTGGTGAAATTTCCTGACAACTGAAGATATGACAAGTGGTTGAGAAGACATAGTGAAAAATAGTTTTCAGGCAAAATTTGCTGTTCCGAACTTCAAAACCATTCTAGAAAACAAATAGAGGTAGCAAATTTTCCCTAGCATTATCGTCATTTTCCCTGACATTTCCCGGTTTCTCCAGTATTCCTTGACTGTGGCAACCCTGTACTATGAGAATGCAAGAAAATTTATTCATTTTCTCAAAACAAGGTTTTTGTGAATGAGCTGTTTTTGCAGCCACCTCTTCATTGTCTAAACATGTGGCGTGGTCATTTACATATTTTAACAGATTGCACACTTCATTATTTCCGTCTCTTTTACTCACTCTCCAGCTTTATTCACTCTGAGCCAATCAGAGTGGAGGATTGTGTCAGGTGACAAGGACACCGTCTCTTGGTTTATCTAGAAGTATGGGCTGTCTTTATCGTTTTAAGATCGACAAATCATCAGAATATCTACGAAGATTTATTTTTGGCTCTGGTGTTCATTTCAGGATTTCCTCACTTTCCCAAAAAAAGTTTCCAGGAGAGAAGACCTTTTTCTTTGTAAGCCTTAATTTTGTGGTTGAAGATTTTCTTTGGCATGATCAACAAAAAAAATAACGTCACGTAGTAACACCATCCAGATAAGACCAACCAAGCCGGTGACGATGAGCAAAGCCTCGTGAGCGTCCGAGTCCGAGCATTGGGTATGGGTGGCGGAGAAGCGGAGAGGGGCTGGAGGGGTCTGGAAGGAAAGGGTAGTAGTAAGTAGCGCCACACAATGGTACGGCCGGCGGGACCTCCGTTCACGCATGTAAAACGGCAAATATCTCGAAAACCGCACATGGGATCTCTTTGGGCGTGTGAGAGCTTTTGATCAGAATGATTAGCTGAGCAACATATCTCGCGCGCTGCTGACCATCGAGCATGCCTCAATCACGTGTGTGCGGGGTGCGGGTGACCCTCTCGAACCCCCTGTTAGCTGAGTGCGGCTGTCGGGGGGGTGGGACTGATCGCCCCTTCCTGGCACATGCGAGCAGTAGTTGCCGGAACTCGGTTTTCTCCCCGCTTTCAAAGCAACAAAATAAAAAAGATTTGACCTGAGAGGGGGGGGGGGATTTCCCATTAGGATGGTATGGGGTCCTTTTTTTTGGTTTCCTTTTGGACAAAATTTCCTTGCAGATCACATGATCATCAGATGTTTTACAGTGCTACAATGTGTGCATCAATAAAGCACAAAGGAGACCATTAATTTGAGGATCTTTCACTCAGATAAAAAGTTAACAGTAAGAGTTCACCTGTATCGAAACTTGAAATTCTTTTTCAAGAAGAGCACGTTTTTTGACCATGTCCTTCTTTAAAAGCTCCTTGTGCCGAAAGACCAACACCTGCAATTTTGACTGAATTTGCTGTCGCTTTTTTTCTTCTTGTAACTTTCCTGCTCGGGCCTTCGGTCCTGAAGGGGATACCTTTTCAACAGTCCTGGAGAGAAATCAAAAGTAAAAAGAGTAAAATTTAGCTAGCTAAGCAAGAAAAGTGACCAACATACAAAGTTTGAAATAAAGAGACATAACTGAATCATATTCAGCTTGTTTCTTCAGAGCTATTTATTTCCACTTCTGTTCTTTAACTCTGAGCATTGAGTTGCTTCATTGTCTTTTAACTTATTTTTTTGCTCCAATTGATTTTCCAGTTTTGTTGCGTCCAGGATAAATTTCTTTGTTGCCTTAAATTTTCATTCATCTTTGTCAAGGGGACACACGTTCTAGAATTCAAAGATTATCAAACTTAACCCTGACTTTTGAGGTGAGGTTCTTGAGCACATAATGTCCTAACTTTTCCCTGACTGCTACTCACAGATTCTGAGAAAGAAACTGCCTATTTTGTACTCCTATGTAAGTCTCTAAAAATAAACAGTTTTGCTTTTTAATGCCTTAGCAGGTGCAAGAAAAAGTTCAGTGCAAAATTTTACCTAAAACATGCGCTTTTTCAGACAATTTTAAGGTCACGCTAATGTTGAAATACTTATGGACAAAATTTTGAAAAGATCTTAGTTGAGTCATAAATTTAAAATTGTTGTTTCCAGTATTTCCTTTAAATAACTTAAATGATATTCCTGTTTCCCATTCTTTACGAGGGCTGTCCCAAAAGAAACCGGACTTTTGTCATAGAAGGCGAACCGAGCGTTGTAATAAAGTTTTCTTGGGCTTGTTTGAAAGCTGATAAGCTACCAGAGATGCTTGTTTTTACAGAATGCAAAAATTCGTCTTGGTAAGGAAACTACACGCCTTGGAATAAAGGAAAGTCAGACTCAAGTTGCGATTTTTGTCGATATTTCAAGAAAAATTTAGATACATCTTTAAAAAAAACCCCAGGTTTAAAGTTAAAAACTACGTTGCTCTCTTATTCAAATGCTGAAAGATAAGGAAATTAACATTTTAAACAGTTCACCAAGTCATCACCTATCCCCTTCAAAATACTCGCCAGCTTTGTCGATGAATTTTTGCCACCGTTTCTTTAATTGGGAGAAACACTGTTTGAAATCCCGAGGTTTGAATGATCGCAATTCCTTCAAGGTGAAACTGTCAATCGCGAATATTACAATGGTGTTCTGAGATGATTACGCGGAAATGTCCGCAGAAAAAGGCCCGAACTTTGGAGAGAGAATTTCTGGTTTCTGCATCACGAGATAATGCACCTGCCCATGCATCCCTCCAAATTCGCGAATTTTGTGCAAAGAATGTCATGAGTGTCCTCCCTTATCCCCCTTATTCACCTGATCTGGCTTCGTGTGATTTTTTCCTTATTTCCATGACTTAAATTTATCTTGAAAGATCGACGTTTTCAAACCATTCCGGAAATTCAAGAGAACACCTTGAAGGAATTGCGATCATTCAAACATCAGGATTTCAAACAGTGTTTCTCCCAATTGAAGAAACGCTGGCAAAAATGCATCGACAAAGCTGGCGAGTGCTTTCAAGGGGATAGGTGATGACTTGGTGAGCTGCTTAAATTGTTAATTTCCTTATTCTTAAGCATTTGAATAAGAGAGCAACGAAGTTTTTAACTTAAAACCTGGGGTTTTTTTAAAGATGTATCTAAATTCTTCTTGAAATATCGACAAAAATCGCAACTTGAGTCTGACTTTCCTTTATTCCGAAGCATGTAGTTTCCTTACCAAGACGAATTTTTGCATTCTGTAAAAACAAGCATCTCTGGTAGCTTATCAGCTTTCAAACAAGCCCAAGAAAACTTCATTACCACGCTCGGTTCGCCTTCTATGACACAAGTCTGGTTTCTTTTGGGACAGCCCTCGTACAGTATATTTCCTTGAAGTTTTCAGATCTTGAGGTCTGAGAATTGGTTTTCAATATTCAGATAAATTTTTTGCAGCCTCATTTAATAACATCATTAATAAGCAGGGAATAAAACCCAAGAATTTATAAATGATAGAAAACCCCTCCAGTTCTGATTATTCAATTTTCAGCCATATTTAAAGCATGGGTGATATAAATATCATATGCTTGATTTACATTTTGAAAATTTATTCATAAATAGGAAGCACAGCTCCCGGAGAACAAGGCATTACTTAAGTTTATCTTGCTCTACATTAATGGAGGAAATATACCGATTTCTTCCTTCTGCAGGGCACTGTGAAGTAAACAGCAAGTTCCCATGATGGTGAACAATTGTGTTAGTCATAGAGCCGTGTTTTCTGATTTCAGATTATAACGAAAAATTAATAAGATCCATCCACAAACAAAATTTCCGCGTCGAATAAATTAACGAAGATAACAAGTTCAAAAAACATGGCAAGTGACATCATTCACCACAGTAGTGCATATCATGACTCCTTCCACCTTGATTTCCTCCATGTTTTAAAGCAAGCAACCAAGGAAAATGTGTGTCTCACTGACTGATTAATGTAAAGAGGAAGGAACCATGATATGTACTACGGCAGGGGATAATGTTGTTGGTTGTGTTTTTCAAAGAGCGGTATTTCCATTAATATTAGACACAGAAACTAGGCATCAATTGAAAACAACTCCTCTAGAACCCTTGACGTTTCACTCCTCTTTAACTCACTCATTTATCTAAAGCATAACATATTTTTCATCTAATCACTTTCCTTTCATTTCAATTTTTCTATAGTTGGCTGCAGGCCCCACTGGGATGAAAGTCATTAAACCAATAGAAAGTGAACGAAAAAACCAAGCATTTAGACCGATTTTATACCTTAAGTCCCCAAATTTCGGGAAAAGTTAAAAAAACGAACTTCAAGGTGATTAAATTTGACTGTTTAAATTTCGTTTTTTTTTAACTTTTCCCGAAATTTGGGGACTTGCAAACGTAATGTTGAACTGATTTTGACCTTACTGAGATAATGTGGGGGCAAAGTTAAGGGAAATTGGCTCATTTCGCCGGAAAATCGAATGACCTTGGAATTGACGGATTAAGGGGTCCAAACTCTCACTTAAAATTACTTCGAAGTGCTATCTGTGATTTTTACTTAAAAGCGAACACAATTTAGAGAATTTTCCTGTTTAATTTTTTTTCTTTGCGATAATTTGAACCGGAGTTAAAATATTTTGAAAATAGGTCAAATTAGACCTTTGACCTATCATAACTCGATCAAAAATTAAGATATTAATCTGCAGTTGGCGCAACAATTCTTAGTTTTTAATGTACTTTCGAATGATTTATTACAAGATAGGGGTTACCATTTGAAAAAAAAGGTGGGGGCCTTCCCTCCCCTGAGGGAGGGGCAAAAATTTTGACCTCCCTGAAAGCTGGTCCTCTCTAAGATGGAAACATTCTCAAAGTTTCGTTTTTCTATCTCAAGCCGTTCAAAAGTTAAAGAGGTGGAGTGGGACTTTTGGAACACCCTATATAAGCTTAAACTATCAAAACGTGATTTTATAACTTATCTGCTGAAAAGTTGAATTTAAAGTCATATCTTTTCACGACTTCAAGACAAGTGGAAAGGACTGAAAAAAACAGGATCTCTGCAACTGAAGAAGAGGTCATGAAAACCCCATGGAGCAAACAACACCTTAAATGAGTTCATTAGGTAATATAGTAAGTTTTTTTAAAAAAAATGTAAGTCTCATAATTTTAACTCCATTGTTTTCCAGTTTAAATTTACTATCGTGATAAGTTACTGGTCTAATGGTACAGAAAGAAGATCAATGTAAAGCATTGCTGATTAACTCACTTGGACTCTTTTTGTTCATGGGATCTTGCAGGCCTTTTCTTGGGAGACTCGGTTTCTACTTCTGAAGGTGTAGGCCGCTTTCTGTTGCTTGATCTGGTGGGAGAAGATGGCGACTGTTGTGTCTGGATCTGATGAACCTGCTGAGGTCGGGATATCGATGTGAAAGATTCTCGTGAGTTTGGTGAATCTCTCAAGTTTGGTGAGTCTCTCAATTGCTTTTCTTGGTATCTTTGGTATTGAAGGAGTTTCTCTTCCACCTCCGGACTGAGGTTCTCCTGTTTCAATGCACTTTTGATGGCTACAAAAATCAAAACTGAATTACTGCCCTCACAAATGTTTAAGACACTTTCTCATTAAAAGTCGTATCACCAATGTGTAAGGTAGCTCCTTCATACAAGACCCAATAGAAATCAGATAACATAAAAGCTGCTCCTAAAATGCACTCTGGTGTTCTGTGACACCCAAACGCTACATGTCTCTACGTTCCCAAAGGTCATCAGGCGACTGACAACATAACCTCTCTTCATTAATGCCCTGCCGCCACCCCTTCATGGGACGTCCGTTTCGCCTCCTCCCGGGTGGTACCCAATCTAAAACTTGTGTGAGCAACCTCTCCTCTGACATTCATTACACATGTCCATAACTAACTGTCTGGACATGACGTCATGCACGATATCAATTTTAATCCTCATCACCGGTCAAACTCTTTCATTATAGACTTGGTCCCGTCTCGAGATGCCAGGAGACCGCTGCCAAAAATTCATTTCAGCTGCCCCCAACATATCTTGCATTTGCCTTGTCAAAGGCTATACTTCGCTGCATAGAGCACAATGGCTGTATAGAAATCAAATAATATAAATAATTGAAAATAGAATAGTCAGAATAATTTGAAATATGGAAGGTCTTTTCTTAAAGGAATCATAAGTTTATACCTACCGTTCTACAAAAACTGTTGAATTATTTAGAGGGGCCAAGCTAGCTTGAGATAATCAAATTAGGGATCTTATTTTGTAAACTTCTAAAAGCGCCAACTCATTTTGGCAATGATTCAAAATATTGGGGTATGACTGTTTCAACTTATGATCTGACTTAACAACACTAACATGTGAAAAGGAAAGCTTTGAATTTGTTAGAGAAGGCATATTTTCTGCATACTGTGGAATGACCTAAAAATTTGTCGACTTCCAAAAGAGAGGGACTTCACCAATTTGAATGCATCCCCTAAATATTTTAGTATTGGATTCATTTGAAAAGAACAGAAACTTAAAACTAGGATGTCAAAAGGCGAATTATCGCGATTATGCAACATTTCACCGCAGCGATCTTTCACCATGGACACTTTTCACTGCGCGACATTTCATGGTGGATTGCTAAAATGGATCTCAAGTCAAAACGTACTATGAAAATGGGTGAGGTAAAAAAACGCAATACGAAAGATCTTCCGAAATGCTATGGTGAGAGGTTGCTACTTCCACTTCTTACAGTGCATTTGGAGGGGGAATTCAAAAGTCCGGACTCCAAACAGCTTACAATGAAAATCCTGATTTTGCTCTCCACATTCGCGAACTGGCAGCCCTCGCTTTTGTACCCCCAGACGCCATCCTAAAGGCCTACCATATTTTGATGGAAAGTAAATTCTTCAAAGAGAACGAAGAAAACGAAAAACTGAACGACCTCACCAATTATTTTGAAGACACTTGAATAGGAAGACTTGGATTGCATTTTGCAAGAAGGAACCACTAGCATTGCGATGATGCTAAGATTGTGCAACTTCATCCTTTGCAATAAAATTGCAGAAATTGTGAAAAACTATGAAATTTAGATGGTCTTTTTGTCTTAAATTTACAGTTTTTAGCGAGTAAAATAGAAACTATTGAGGGATAATCGGGTTTTTCCTCCAAGACAAAAGAAGTTGCACAATCTTAGCGACATTGCAATGCTAGTGGTTCCTTTTTGCAAAATGCAATCCACTTAATAGAAGGAGACAGAGACAACGCCCCATTTTTTCAATTGAAATGTGGAATTGCAATTTAGCAAAAATCAAAGGCCTTCCTCGCACGAATAATGGTATCAAAGGCTGGTAAAACACTGTAAACTCCGCGTTGGGCGCAAAAATCCGACTTTATGGAAAGTTCTCAAAATGCTTCAGAAATAGGAGATGACAACACGGTGGCAGTTGGAAGAGTACACATCTGGTAAATAGAAGCCGGGCCAGATCGAGAAATATGCAAAGCTCACTCTTCGGCTCCAAAATATATGTCAAGAGTTTGAGTCAAGTCCTGTCCTAGATTTTCTCAAAGGCATTGCACACAATTTAGAACTTTACGTTTGGTTCAGAAAATAAAGGTATTATCCTTGATCAATTCTTTTGTCTCCTTTTGCTCATCCTTTTGTTAAAAGTATTATCCTTAATGAATCCTATTTTTTCCTGAGTATTTTATCTTCCAATCTTATCAATCCTCCTTTGAACCCTTAGTTATTCCTGATACTCAATCCCTAGAACTATTCCTTTAAACACAACTTTTTAAACACGCCCATTTAGCCAGTCCTAAGCCTAGAAAAGTGTGAAGGAAAAGTTTAGCCTTAGAAATTATTACTGGCGGTGAAATGTTGCGCGGTGAAAAGGGCTTACGGTGAATGGTCACCGCGGTGAAATGTCGCTTCACCAATTATCGCAGGTAGATTTCTTTAGGTTTTTTGACCGAACCAGCAGGGTTTCGATCCAAAGAAGAAAAGGCTCTGCTGAGGTCAAGAACTTGACTCAGTTACTTGATGAATTTCAGCCAACGTTTGCACCCGTCCACTTTTCCACCCTATGAGCTTGTTCAGTAATTTGTAAATCTTGCATTTTTGAAAACTAGGAAGTGCACATAGTTCACAGGAATTTTCCCCGATTTTTGGGAGCATGTTTAACCCACAGAATACGAGTTCAAAGTTCGATATTTCGAGCTCCCACTTCAACGCGCGTCGCTCGGGTTATCCAAGATGGCGTCCATTCTATCCGTCCAGCGATGGCCACACTTTTGACCTCACGTGCCGGCGAGGTACCTCTGCCGCGCTGAATCCATCGAACTCAAAGAGAAAATAAGAGAGAATAAGATAATAGATTGGAAGAAAGCGTGGTTACCTGATACTGGCTTGAGCTTCTTGCGCTTGCTTTTCTAATTGAGTCGGACAGATTCAGCCTAATGTTTGTTTGTTTACTTCTTGGACTGCCACACGGCAGAGGTTCCTTGCCGGCACGCGAGGACAAAAAGGTGGCCATCGCCGGACAGATAGAATGGACGCCATCTTGGATAACCCGAGCGATGCGCGTTGAAGTTGGAGCTCAAAATACGGAACTTTAAACTCGTATTTCATGGGTTAAAAATGCTCAAAAAATCGGGGAAAATTCCTGTGAACTATGTGCACTTCCTAGGTTTCAAAAATGCAAGAATTACAAATTACTGAACAAGCTCATTTGGGAGGTGGGTCAAGAATTTTTGATGTGATCCTCAATGCTGCTAACATGAAAACCAAATGTTTCGGGCTCATCATCCTCCGGAGGAAATTTTGTGTTGTTGTAATGGAGGTTGACAGTAAATAAATACCACTCTAACAAATTCACTTGCAGAAATTCTATTAAGAAGTAAGAATCCATCAATCCAATCTGAGAGAAGTGTTTCTCACAGATGTGAAACAATGGATGATAAACTTACTTTGTTGCACGTAATCTGGTGTAAGAATAAATTTGGTTCCTTGTTTCATGACAGGTGTGGCATTGGATGCAGCCTGGATGAGCGTCTGGTCCATCTGCCGTTGTTGTTGCAACTGCTGCTGCTGCAATAATTGTTGCTGCTGTTGTTGCAATAATTGTTGTTGTTCTAACTGCTGCTGTTGTTGTGGTGGTTCTTGCTGCTGCTGTTGCAACTGTGGTTGTGACTGTTGTTGCTTGGCTGCTAGTTGCGAACCGGATGTTAGAGCAGTGTTTAGAATCTGTGACACAGGTGAAGTAGGTGTTGAAAGTAGTTTTGATTTCTACATAAACTAGGGAATTATTAAATGTTAAAAGAAGTTATTGTCCAGTCAAGTTTAATTAACTCTCCTTTTATTTCATAATTTTAATGAAATGAGATAATGTTACATTTGACTGGATTGAGCGGAAAAGAACCAAATTACATTTTGGAAAAAAATAATTTAGGAGTAGTTGTGAACATAAACAGCTGCACATTTACTTCAGAAAAAATTCAAAGCCGAAAAAAAAATATTTAAAAGTAAAAATGACCAGTGTCCAACTTGTAAATAGAGCCAACAAGAGAATAAAGAAATTAATTTGTGCATGCAGGTACTCTAGTAATGTCAAACGAATAAAATGAGTAATAAAAAGCAAGCAAACTGCTGAAAGTGGGAAATATATAAATAATGAGTTGGAATCTAAAGTAATTAATGAAAATGTTAATGATCTAATTATAAATGGACTGTGCTATTATATGATGACCTGACAGAGATTGCCTGTAAATTTAATGAAAGTTTTGCCAACATAAGAGAAAAATTTTCAAAAACTGGAAGTGTAGCACAGGCAAACAATGTAATGAGAAGAGCGGTAAATAGTACTTTTAACTTCAAGTCTCCAAGTAAGGCAAAAATAGAGGAAATAATTAAAGGTCTAAATAAAAAAGTAGAGATAGGTTTGGATAGATACCCAACAGGGTTCTTCTTAGTAACATGGATGTTCTAATAAACCCCTTTTTTTCAAAGCTGTAATCATACGGTCCACTCCACAAAATTTCCTGACCAGCTTAGAGTTGCAAAGATCATCCCAATACATAAGCAAGGTTCCAAAAGGGACTTTAACAATTATAGACCAATTGCTTTTCCTCCATTCCTCTCCAAAATAATTGAAAAGTACTATATGATCAAAGAGGGTTATTCAAAATCTGCGATTTTGCCCTACTCTTGGATTTTGCCCGGAGTTGGATATGTTGTTCCCTATCACAAGACACGCCTCACGGTTCGTTTCAGAGGGAGGTAAATGAAATTGTGTTGCCCACTCAAAATTCCTTCGGGATCTTGAAGTAGGATGCACACATAGTCATTAAAGCCTAAAATGAAAATATTCTGTCGAGCTCTTCGAAAATAAAATCGATTTTTGTGTTTTTGGCCTAAAATGGCCTTCAAAGACGATCGATGATTAAATTCCGATGGGTTGTGCATATGTAAAATGGTACATGTGCAATGGACTCTACGTATTTTTGGACCAGGAATCGATTGAGCAGGGTCCTGAATCGGTCCGAAGCTTCATTGACCGAAAAATGGGCCTTTTTTTGGATTTTAGGGGTGCTTTGGGCCGATTTTCCCCCAATTTTGGCGTGAAAAAACCTGTGCCGTCATGGGTAATGATTATCGGGTCATTTAGGCCGGACCATCGAATGCACATGGTCCCGAGACACTCCGGGGCTTCCGGAGTGATACAGGGTTTTCGAGATACAGGGGATCAAAGTCCCCGATTTTCACTCAATTCTGCAGGTATTTTAATGTTCAATTCCAACTATAAATTGTTTTCTGATTTAGATATCGAAGCGCATTTCGCGGTGGTTGATTCAGCTACGTGTGGTGGATTTTTCTACATATTTCACAAACCCTCACTTTGTTTTTTTTT